TTTGGGGAATTTAAAATAAAACGTAGGCAATAATAGGTGGATTATGTTATGGGACCAGAGGAAGTAATGAAGAATCTATTTTTCAAAGCCACAAACAAAATGCATCGTGGTTCTGAGGTGACGAGGAAATTGTCTCTGCTGCTTCACTTCAGTCTTTCAAATCTCTCTTTCGTGCAAGTCCAACAACTTTATAAAAGTGCAATACCAAATTGCAGGAGCACCTCTTTAAATCCTTACCTAAAGCCACTTTTCGTCTGAGGTTGCAACTTGGTCTTCAGGTGTGTGTGTGTGTGTGTGTGTGTGTGTGTGTTTGGCAGGTGCAGGCTGAAATCCAAGAAGCTTTAAGCTTATTGCTTTTTTCTTTCCTCATTTTCTATGATGGCACTGATGGTGGGCTGCACTGTGTATCGTGCAGGACGGGGAGGAATCACGACTCCTGCACCCCTTTACTCGCTGGAGGCCTCGTTCCATTCAGCCTCTCGTCTCAACACTCCTCTATTCACTTCTGAATGCTCTGTATCACACAGCTGAAACCCAAGTCTGGGGACAATTATTGTTATAAGTGAGTATCTTTATGTTTGGTGTCTGTATATGTGGCCATGGATATTGCTTGTTTAGACTTTAACAATTATGTTCACCTTTAAAAACACTCCCTCCACTCCAATGCCTCTCCAGCTCGCTCCGAAATACACACACATGTACACTTTCCTACTAATTCTGTCCATGCATGTCGTGTTACTTCTGAATCTGCCCTGCGATCGGTTTCCCTACTCTCCTGTAGCACAAAACGCCACCCAGCTGCTTAGTATCCGCCCCCCCTGCTGCGATGTACAGGCTCCAGACTGAGCTATGACTCATCAGGGGACGCTCAGCGAGATCTCCCGAGGTCAGACTCAGAGGCATATGCAGTCCTCGGAAGCGGCGGCGAGAGGCACGCCGAGCTGATGGGCCTAGCAAGGCGTGAGAGCGTGGAGTGCTGAGCTAAATCACCTCTACGCTACATGCCCGTAAGAGGAGTAGGACCTGAGGTAGGAGGAGATTCGGGGATCAGAACTTGGAGATCAGGGCTACTGTCAAAAAAGCTTGCTGCTGCCCCCCAAAAAAAACATTTTGGCCACCATGTGACCACTCCCGCTGCACCGGAGCTCCGGATGCAGGATAGACGCTGCCGTCATCGTGCCAAATGCATGTTACATAAACAAGCTTTCGATTTAAGTCCAATTACACGGAGCTCACAGGCCGCAGAGAGAAAGGCCGATCTCTGGCCACGTGGATCACTACAACGACCGGGGGTCTCTCAATAGACGCTCCTTTTTCTCAATAATCCAAGGCTGCACATGTCACAAATGCGTGTTTGATCACAGCTGTAGAGCCACATCGGATAAGACGGTGGTGGTTGGGCGTGGAGAATTGTAGGAAGGGATGATGATAACCACAGCCGAGATCCACCTTCTATATTCATGAACTGTCTGAATTGTTACTCAACAGTTTTGAGCTATTTTGAATATTATTCAGTTGCAAGTTTTCTTTGGGAAAATCTTTAACTTGAACAATTTGAATGCTAATGAAAATCACAACATATTGTAAGTCTTGTTTGGTCGCACAGACTAAACCGACATCGCCTCACCAACACTCATTATGAACCCACAAAGAGACACACATGGTTAGAATACACTTGGAAGCTGCAAGTGATTGGACACAGAACAATCGGAGACGGCGGACAATCCCACTCACAGAGAAAAACACACCCGGGCAGGAAGTGAAGTTAACCCAGGGACACAAGAGAGGAAAATACAAAATAAAACAGTAAATGAACCCACCCGCATGATCTTTTGACAATATTTCATCCCCTTACACGCAAAAATGCTTCAGTTATGTCCACAGTACATGTAGACATCTCATCTCATGTTTATCATCAACTCAATACTTTCCGTTTCCATTTTAACAATAAGAGCCCCACGAGCCATTGTTAACTCATTGTCGTTGTTTTTTTTAAAGTGATGTGCAGGATATGTGGAAAATGAAGTGCATACTATATTTCAATAATTATAATTTGCAAATGAACACAAACGTCTTTACTTCTTATTCTTGGATGGTTGGAAATAAATATAAATGAGACATTATGGTCCTTATGGTCAAACAACGCCGTCTGTGTGGACAGCCCATGCGTTAAGCAACACAAATGTATGCTCCCACACAGTATTTTCGTGTGTCTTACGTGCATAACTGCTGTGATTGTTTGTCTGGATCTGGGTAATGTTATCAAAAGAAAGTTTTAAGGAAATATAAAGGATTCCACATATTTATAGGCAGGAATTTGTATTAATCATAATGAGATGTGATTTCAATATATCTTTAATACATTCTGTTCACGGATTTCTTAAAATACAACAGAGCAAAATTGAAAATAAATCTCTTTACTAAGAATATATAGAATAAAAGGATTTAAAGTTAGAAGAATGAGTGCTATGACACCAATAACTGCTTATGATATAATATGATTTACACACAGTAAACAAGATATTGTTCAAAAGTACAATCAATTTTACCTAGACTTTCTTTAATTCAATTTGAACATTTTTTATTTTGCATTAATCAGCAATATTATCAGTAAATATTACATAGCACAATCAATCATCTGCAGTTGATCAATTTTCCAGTCCTGTCTGATTTAATGGGTTACTTGCCAAAAGTGCAGCTTTATTATCTCTCTTACTTAACCAATCCAAGTCCTCATTTTGAAGAGCATCATCTTCTCTCATGTTTTCCCCCATGACTGAAACCTCCCTCATGAGAGGAACACTGAGAATTAGCTCAAAACACACCCAGGTTATCAACTTAAAATGTTGAAGGGGGATGGTAATACATTCTGATGACGGCTCGGTGTCCTGTGAGGATATTCTCTTGGCTCTCTCCTGCTGTGCTGCATGGTGCAGCTCCTTTGCACTGCAGTGATGGTGTTTATTGTGATTCCACACCGTCATCTTGTGGTGGCGCGTGGCAGCGCCGTGTGCTCTGCATGTTGTGCTATTTAAATGCTAAAAAGGTTCAATGATTTGAGTGGGCAGTGGAAATACTTACAGAAATAGCCGGCAATGGACACGTCAAACCTTCTAGTCTGTGGAACTAAAAGCAGCCATGTGGAGCTTAATAACAGGGTGTGATGTGCAAAGCTGGAGGCAGTAATAAAACAACCGAGACACAAAGGAATTCAGATACTTTACTCCTAGTAACAATACTAGAAAGCTTTAGTTTAGTAAATGGAAAGTATTAACAACATTTAATGTGATGGAAGTATAAAGTATCAAAACTGGAAAAAAGAAGCACAAGTAATATTGTACTCAAGGACAACGCTAATAATACTAAATGACTAAATATATGGACCGAGTTACAATCGCGCCATCACTTCACACAGGTTTGGTTCCAGATGGTTGAGAAGAAATATTTCATCAGAATCCACCAGCCACAAACAAACCCACTGGTGCGATCAATTCCTTGCATGCTTTCAAAGGGTCTCATCAATTCTGTGTCAATAGTCCCAGTGACTTTAGACTTCCATCTACTCAGAGAGAGAGCAGTTAGCCTTTACATGCTGCTGCTGTCCGTGTAATTGGACCTGTATTGACATTCTACAGGCTGTGAGAAAATAATGACAGCAAATTTCCACATACCGTGCGACTTTTCTTTTCCATGGCAGATGTTCTCTTTTAATCACAGTCAGACCAGCTGTCCTGTGGGAAGAAGCACAGGACAGCTGGAGGCTGAGCAATATTGGCATCTTAAAAAAATATTGGTTGTTTGCTGGCTTTCCTAAAATAGTAGTAAATAAAGAAGATGTTATGGCGGTGAACCTACTAACCTTCGTCTTTAGTCTGTGAAGTTCACTAAAGCATTATGATATGTCAAAGTTGTAACCCCAACAACTCAGCACTCAGATTACTTTGTAGGGTAAATTAGTAACACATGGTAGTAGTTTTATTCCTCCAGCATCCAATTCTTTTGAGTCAAATATCAATTTGATGAGGAAATAGTGCCTGTCACGCATTGTCCAAAGACCGGCTACTGCATTAATGGGATATATTAGCTGAATATCCCATGCACCCAAATAGAACCAAATATCTTACTCGCTTATCTGTTTTGTTCAGGAATATTTTATGAGACTCTCTGTATTTTTCATATGCAGTCGATATTACACTATTTTCTAATATCTAATGAGAAAACCTCAGAGATACAATCCTTCACACATCGAGTGGGTATATGGACACCTTGAACAGTCTGATCTGAGCTGAGCATGACATTTTGGTAGTGGAGACATGATTGATGAACTTTAATATGTGCTGCGTCTCACTGATGATGATGTTTTCTTAAAGGGATTTCTGAATGAGATGATTATCTGGATTAACAGCAGGAGGATAATGAGGCCGTGGAGCACCAGTATTTCTACTCCTCTTTTCAATTTCACCAACAAAAGTAATGACCCGACGTTACAGTGTTAAGCTGTCTGGTCTTTACAATTATGGTTCATCCAAAGAGAAACTACGTTGCTTGTGATGTTGACTTTTGTTTAGCTTATAATAATTGTGTGCAGCGTGTGTACCAGGGTAACTCCGGTTCATGTAAGCGGGCTATTGTTTACTATTGCTTTGTTTGCATTTGATGAAAGGAGACGTTAACATGGCCTGTATGCAATCAGAGGCGTTTTTCTTTAAGTTTAAATAAGTACAAATGCAGCTAGTTCATTACATCACTTACCTAAAGATCGTGCAAAACCTTTGCTTCTTTTGAATTATGTGCAGGTGTGAGGATCTCAGATCATTCTGCAGACTGAAACTCTTCACCACCCTCACTGGGACACCGCCGCCCCATCATGTTGAACCCAGGCTATGGCTGCGTCACCGCCCAATGCACTTCTCCTTCAAATGTTGGGACAGTTAGCCGATTTTATTTTTGCAACCAGCTTTGTCAAAAGATGATACAAACTAATGTCACAGAGGCATAAATCAGTACACACGTCACACCTCTTTTATTGCTATCATTCATACGTGTACACCTAATAAACATGCAGAGTGTTAGTATTTATTTACAACAGGTCAAGCAAAACTGATGCATATATTAGGATGGTACTGTATATAAATACATTTCACATTTCACATGTCCCGGGTTCTGTGAGGTCGGTCACCTTGAGGCATTATTAGACAGTTACCACAATAGGGGAAGACAGGGCAGTTTGTATGGAAGCCATCTTTTCTGTTGCCCACAGTTGCTCCACATTATGTTATGTCCTGTTGCACATAACGTTTCTGTTTTCTGTGATGCGTTATCACATCCAAAACAGCGCTGGCATTGTAGTTGCGACCGGGTGGCCATGAGACAACTGATGCTCTTGAGCTTTGTGTGTGGATCAACTTCATTGCCTGAGTGAACAGGACGTTCTATGGCGTTGAACTTGTAGTTCTTTGGCTTCATATTGGCATTAGTCGCTCCCCTGGGAAGAAGTGCTGTGTAAAGCCAGGCAGTCTTTATTTTAACACTAAAACCTTTCAAAGGGTCAGTGCCCACTGATTTCCATAGCTTGTCGTTTTCCTTAAAACTCAAATAACACGACAGAAGTTTGACCATCCTGCACCTCTGGAGACCCCCAATTCAAGGTTTATCTTTAGCAACTACAGATCAAATCTTTTCAAAAGCCCCAGCTGGCCAATTTGGGATTCTACTCTCCTCCATCACATTAAACTTAAACATAATTGAGCAAAGCAGAGTAAACAAAAGTTGCACTTGATAACCATGCGGGAAAAACAGAAACCAAAGTAAATCCTACTTTTCTATTTTTGCAAAGCAAGGAGAGCAACCCAAACCATTTGTAACTCGATAACATTTTTAAAAAATGGTACGTTTAAAAGGCAATGGAATATAAATCGATTTTTACCAATTTAGCTTACATTGAATACGTGTGGAATGGTATTTGTTGAAAATGAAATGCAGTGAGTGTCTGCATGTACCTGTATGTCATAGTAATATTGAATACAGCAATAAATAAACATGCATCTCGTTAATGTTGTTAAAACTGAATCCCGTTTTCTGTCTCAAATGTAAAGTGTCATATTCATTTCAGAATCAGCTTTATTGTCGAATTCCATTTCGCATACCTCGCCAATGAAGCTTATTTTGATTCAGATTTTGTCCTTTGATTGCATGCTGTTTCCAAAATATCCCATCAACAAAACAAAACAAAACGAAATATATATATAATAACTTTTAAAAATGCATTTAAAATTTCAAGGTAACAAATCCAGATTGTGATCTTTGACTCTTTGGGTTCGGATCTTGAGGTGGTCGTCAACTGAAATAATGTGTCAGCAAAAGCTGAGGAGACAAGTGACGGCCCAATCATATCCACGGCTTATTTTTCAATATGGGTAATGCACAGATGATGACATCCCGTTGAAATATGCTGGCAATTTCATTCAAATTCAAATCACTCTACAACGGCCAACACATCTTAGACTTAGACTGCTGCTTTATGTTTTACAAAAGCACAGTGAGAAACTCCACCGGCCGCCCGCCACAGCGCTGCACACGTATATTTCTAATACGTGGTACCTGTTAACCTATTAACAATGTGGCATTTCACCTGTCCACTATTGAGACACAAAGTGTTCAACATTGAATACATATATACAGCATGATAAAATCCCAAAAGGTCAATAATTAAATAATAAATAAATAATAGAATTATGCAAAAATGATCTCACTTAGAATTAAAAATAAATACGGACATTTTGTTGCGTCTTTCCGTGAGGAACATTGTTAGAAAAATAACACTGCCGAGGTCAATCGGATTTAGCCCACTAGCTAACATGTTACTGCTGAGTAAATAATCACGGCTTACCAGATACGCTCGCTGGCTAATTAACTGGGCAGCATAAAAACCTTGTTAAAGAAAATAAAAAACAAGGTTAGCTTCTATATCTTTGCACTGTTCATTTGCGGTTAATAGTCGGTCAATTTAAAACAACATTAGCACAGTTTCTACTCAAGCTACATAGAGCTAACTCCTCAAATTTTGGAAACAATAGCTGTAATTAAGCCGTGTTAAGAGATACTTATTGTTTTGAAAATCCAAAATATAAAGTCTAAATGGGGAAAATATCCCTTTCCCAAAAATTCACCTTCCGAAATAAAACTAGGTGAAGAAATGTTAAAACAATAATTGGAAAAATTAGTTCACAGTTTGTTATCTGTATATTTAACTATATTTAATCACGTGATTTTTAATGACATGATGTCATATTTATGGTATGTTTTTTATTTCCATGTCGTGACTTCCGGTGGGACCGGTTTGTAAAATGGCCATGATGGCGCCATGATACTGTTCAGGGGGGCCGGATTTCCAGAATACGAATGAAGGGATCAAAGGCCACTGCATTTATAGTGTCTATGGAAAAATAAATGCAAGCAAACTGCTCAGTGAATTATAAATACCACAGATTTCAGCTGGGAGCAGAACCTCCCTGCTTCATTGTTTTTTAACACACTCTCTTATTTTTCAGCTCACTCGTCTCTCTCGTTCATCCTTCTTCTCCCATCCATTATGTTTGCTATATCCCTCAAATGTTCCTGCAGGCAGGAACGGAAGATCAAGTCATAAAGTGTCAATAATCATTCCATCACAACAAAGAATCAAAGGGGGAATTGGCTCTCGGTCCGTCATGACGCCTTAAATTACAGCTCCATCCTCTGCGTGTCTGACAGCACCGTCTTGCACGGAAAAGAAATCACAAAAGCGAAGACGCAACAAAGAGGCAAACTGGCCGATCGGTTTCTTTAAGCGATGTTCATTTCGTATCGTAGTGTATCAGCGTTGATAAAATTTCACCCAGTCCGTGTCTGACAGGGCCATTATTTACCAGCAAATACACAATCTTTTTTAAAAAGGAGCTGTAATCTCAGGCATCACTTTCCCCATTTGGAATTCTTTTCTCATGAATCCAAATGGAGAAATGTACACTCTCAAAACACACCAAAATAACGCTTACTGTACATAAATACAGTAAAATACACTCCTCGTCTTCCCACCCTCTCCATCTCCCCGCTCTCTCGGAGACACGCGCTGCACTCGGGCGAATGCTAGAAGTACAGATAATAAGTCCAGTACAGCAGGTTGACCATGACAAACGAGAGGGGGAAGGTGACTCTGGAGTAGTTGTCTATGTGGTGGGGGTTCTCCACCCGACAGCAGTACAAGGCGCGGAGCACTTTGCGGACGGTGGCCAGAGCGGTGAGGCACCAGTGGGTGCGCTTCGGGGGCGACGCCTCTGGCTTGGGCTCGCTGCCCGAGGGGCTGGACGGGACGAGTTCTAAGGAGGCCGGCGCCGGGGGCGCGGCCGCGGCCGCAGCGGCCTCCTTGCGTCTCTTGGCCCTGTTGTGATTGGAGATGGTGGTGATGATGCCGTTCATTTCGTCGTCTAGGTCGTGCATGTGGTGGCCGTACTGCAAGACAACAAGGGGCGTGAAAAGAGCGCGTGATGACATGGCGGTCGACGATGAGCAGCATTTTTTGAAGACAATGTCACCACTTAACAATCCAGGGTGGGGGAGGGGGAGGGGGGGACTCACCATCAGCATGTGCGCGTCGAGGTGAGAAAGGCTGCAGAAGTGGGCCACGGCGTACTCAATGAGCGCTCCGAAGATGAAGCTGAAGCAGATGCCCAGGTAAACGTCAATGGCTTTAATGAAGCAGTTGGCATTGGGCAGAGACGTCCGGGCTCCCATCATCAGAGTGGTCATGGTCAGCACTGTGGTCACCCCTGGATGAAAGAACGAAGACACAAAGTGGGCAATGTTTTTTTTTTTTTTACATGACAGATTCTTAAAAAAGGAGGTAATCCCAAGTTGAGAATTCACTGAGGAACACCATTAAACAGTAAAAACACAAGACGAGTCCGCCTCGACTGATCAAGCCCTTTATATCTGAGGTGCCATGAAGTGGGAGTTGCTGCAGTTCTCTTTGTTTCTAGAACTTCGTGGCCCCTGAGGCCCTTTCGCAGTATAAAGGTGGATTTGATTCAATGCAAACATCTTTGTTCGGATGTCGCCACTACATGACAACAGTGTCACAGATGCTCTCTTCAACCATCAGCCCTTGAAAACACAAATCCAAAGCCATATCTGTGCTCTCTAAAGGTGGGCAGGACTATCTGTGTCCACAGTACACAGTCCCAACAGTGACACACAGCATCTGCATGCAGTTTGGTACATTGTTAGAATGGATAACAATCGCCCGGGAAACGCGATTCCAAAATGCTTTCAATCGTACCTATACAGATACGAGCTGGGACGGAGGACAGGGAAATCCAGAAGGAAACCCACGAGAGGACAACTAACAGGCTGGAGGGGACGTAGGTCTCCAGGATGAAGTACAGAATGCTCCTCCTCAGCTCAAAGTGGAAGACCAGCTTCGGGTAATTGCCTTTTGAGAAGAGGGGCAGAAGTCAGTCGGTGGTTAATGACAGAAAACAACTTGGCAGGCTGCTGTTTACACATTACTACAGCCTGAGGGCAGCTCGGTACCGGTTTCATATACGGCCTCGGAGACGGACGTGTAGTGGTCCTCCACCGTGTACTGGGCCAGCTGCAGAGTGTCTAAACCGCTGACCGACTCGTTCCCCCGGGTCCAGTAGAACATGACATCGTTGATGTTGTAACCCCCTGTAGGGGAGAGAAGAGACGGGAGTTGCATTTTCACATTGGAAAAAGCTGCATCCATCAATATGTTACAATAATGTACATTAAAAGTTGACATAATTAATGATGGAATATCTGAAAAGGAGCAACAAGAAACGCAAGAGTGGGACCGTCAATCAGCAACCGTGTTCATCTATATATTCAAACTTTACCCAAATAAAACTTGATCACGTTAATCAAATCAAAAGATGAATATTCGAAAAAACAAGTATATTGTCTACCTGTATCAAACGTGCCCTCCCCAACCACCCATCACATACCCATTCAGTGTGTTATTTCAAAAAAATGTTTTATTTAAGAGGCTAAAGAGACAGATGTGTCCCATTAGAGTCCAACAGGCTCGCTAAAAGGACAGTGAATATCTGAGTGATTGCTAATGTTGCTCCATGAAGGCTGTTCGCTGACACATTCACTATAAAAACCGTATGCATGACACCGTGTCAGCGTCAAACATTCGGCAGAACAAATACATCTACTTCTCCTGCAGCAGTTTCTGCGGGTGGAAACACAACGGCCACATTAGCTTAGAAAGCTGCTACAAATTATAGTGATGATGATGATGTAGAAACAGCATTAAAAGTTTTTGCTAAACCCCGGAGCAGCAATTGAGGGAACAGCTGTGAATGTTAACGACTCCAGCTACGCTAAAGTCTGGTCGTCTCACGGCTAAATTATTTGGGATTGCAACTCGTACTGGGGGGTAAATTCCCTCAAGTGCTTCTTCTCAGCACGAGACCATTCGGCAAAAACTAAAGGACAATGTGGAAACCGCAGAACGTTTATTGGGGGAGACACTGCAGGCAAAATCCTGCTTTTTATGCTTTGATCAATTTTGAGATGTTGGGGCATTTTCCTTTCATATCCTTCAGACCAGACCAGCGGAGAGAAGATCACCATCTGCTCACCTGTAGTGTCCCTCTTAACATCTCAGGTTAGCCTTGAGAAGACTACGCTCTCCACCCTTGCTACATAACCGCATGTTGGTCGTTAAAACAACGCGACACTTTAAAGTACACCGTTAATCTTTCTCGTTGGAAGCTGCCGTCACCGTGGGAACAGAACGGTCTCCGCTTTAACACAGCTTGACACGCAGACATTGAAAACAGGAATTGGCTAATGGAAATGCATTTGCAGTGTTCACGTTCACTTGAACAGACTAATCATCCATATTTCACTGGGCCCTCGAGAGCCCTGATAACCCAAATAAATCTTTGAATGAGCCGGCATGCAAAATGGAGATGTTTCTCTACACGGATCTTGATTTATATTTGCTGAGGACGGAGGCGAGAAGGTGTGATTCACAACCTTTACGGTGTATTTTTCTCACTTATCTGCAGAGGGAGCAAGAGAATAAGAAATGTAAGCAGGAGCTGGAATAACTCACCTCTCACAATGTGTTCTACGGGAAATACTTATTACATGGAGTCACGTTTCATTGGTCGATGGGGAGTCGTGGTGCTGTGAGTAAAGGGCCCTAATGAAGGACACTGGTGACTTATCAGCCGAGAGGTCCTGCACATTCTCATTGAAGCAGTTGTTATTCTCCTGACTTGAAGCCCTGACGTTACGGTAACAATTACGGATGTGAATGGGATACAGAGGGAGGGGGGGGAAGTTCGACATTTCCTTTTGCCGCATAAAACCAAAGAACATGTCAGACATAAAGGACTTCGACTACAGTAGTTGGCTTCTCATGCTGCGGTCAGAAGGCACTAAATATTTCACCGCAATCCTGATCTAAACACCCTGCACCCCTTCCCAAGGACCCCCCCTGTGCGGAGGATCCACTTCTGGCACGGCATCAAAAGGAAAATGAACCCTTTAAATGCATCTTCATGAAGGGACAGAGCAAAGAGAGAGGTGGATGTGCAGGAGAGAGAGGGAGAGAAACAAACAGCAGTGATGAGCGAGAGAGATGCAGATATTTAGCTCATTGAAGCAGCGGAGGAAGGACCCATCATCATCCTCTCAGTTACCTAACCCTAACCTCCAGATGTCTTTTTCTCCGCTCAGTGGGAGTGGATCCGCCGTTAAATGTTTGGCGCTGAGGTCCTGGTGGGCTTCTGGCGGGTATCAGACCTAGCTTAGCTGTCATTTAACAGCACTGAGCTGCTATGAGAATACGGCACATGAGGCTGATGAAAGATGAAGATGGACGGGGAGGGACGGAGTGGGGGTCTTCCTTCCATTCCTTGAACAGCCCCCAAAAAATTGATTCCATCAATGTTGCTTGATCCTAATTGCAATTTGCTTTAATTATAAACATAATGCGAGCGCATTTCCACTTAAAACCATTTACGAATGAGACAAATCGCTTCTTTAATTTTAGGAAAAAAACAGATTTGCTATAAAAAAAGCATATTTGGATCATTAAAGGATTAAATCCAACATTTTATTAAACACTTATTCTAGGCAGAAAGTTGGAATGGTTGGTACCACAGGCGCCCTGCAGCTCGTGCGTGCACTAATAAATATGTGCTCACGCGTTTGGTTCCTAACCAGATCAGGCTGTTCTCATCCAGCTATTCCTTTGAAAAATAACGTGCTGTAATTTGCAGACATCCCACCAAAAAAAGATGTCATGTTATACACGTAGAGATAAACAAGTACGAAGGCTTCTCAAGGCCAAAGTGGGAGCGCAGGGCGGGGAATCGCTCCACCAAACACGTAAAAGAATCAATGTTAATTTGAAGAAGGATGTTTATTTTAAAAACCTTGGTCTGAGGTTTCTTAAATAAATGACCCTACGAGCGGACGGGCATCCTGGCCCATCAGCTCGTAGGGTCATTTATGACAGAAGAAGCCACACAGCACACTGCTCACGCTACTCCGTTGTGACCGGAATGGCCCGCTGCTGTTCACATCCACAGTAAGCATGCGCTCTCGCTCACACACACCAGCAGTTTAGAAGATGAGTGAAAGCGATCCGTTTGATCAGATTCATTTGAACATGGCGCCCGCCCACTGCCACAGCCTGGAGCTGCACAGTCGGGATGCTCTGAATCAAGTATGAAGTGTCCTTACAGCTTTCCAGTTGCAGCGTGCACGTCTGCTTGTCCATGGGATACTTGGTCAGATCCATGTTGCAAGCCACGGTGGTGGTGATCCTAGTCAAAACAAATAAGAGTTACTGTATAGAAGTGTTTACTTAAAAATATGCTTCATTTAATTTTTTTCTTTTGAGCTGTAGAACATTAGTTGCAACCTTTTGATCAAAGAAACCACACAGCAGAATTGTGAATTATTTTCCTGCTCTCTCTGGTTGAAGTTCTTTTGTGAAGAGCCATCTATATAAATATCTATGGAATGAAATGAGGCTGCTTTAGCTCGTGACAGCAGATATCATTTGTGAGGCTTCACCTTGCTGTCATGCTGTAAATCTGGGCCAACATGTACAAAACATCACACAATATCATTTTGATCTCAAGTGCGTTCTAAGAATTATTAGTTTTAGGATTTAGTTTGAAGTGCTTAGTGTTGAGTTCTGCGTTTTACTTGGATTTTATCCACATTCTATTCTTTTTGCTCTTCATGCTTTTCTTTATGACACCATTATATTGCATATAGTTGTATTGCTGGCCTCATTGTAATGAGTCATGGAAGTGTTTGATGAATCTACTGGTGCACAGGGTCACGCAGCTCTGGTGATTGACGTGATGCAGCCATGACACATCATCTCTGGAGGGTTTCTGATTCACAGGTTAGGGAGGGTAGTTTGAGTATAACCCCCAGTACATGTTCCACACTTGAGAATAACACTGATAAAACTATTTCTTATAAATGTCAGGTATGACCATGATTCACAACGTGTGGAAGGGACACCAATTTTCTGAACTCATTAATATTCTTTAAACTTCTACATCCCAATAAGTTGTAGCACATTGACTTATATAAGGAAAGAAACGGAGGTCCCCTTTAGGATTTGTGGCTTTCCTGTTTCCTCAGGGACACAAATTGGACTGGAGGATACAAGGATTCTGAAAGCTCAACCTTCAGCTCCAGTCGCCTCAGTGCTTTCTCATGCCCCCCCCCCCCCTTGGCACAGCACTGAACATTTAGCACAGATGTCTTGTCCTCAACGCTTCTCAGCATTTCTCATTGCCTCTGTCCCCTTTTCACAGCCCCTAAATTCCCCCCAGGCGGCCGTCCCCACACTGAGCATGTCTTTGATATTGAGTATCTCTGGACTGGGTTCCACTCTCTGTGACTGTGACGCTTTAAAAAGCCAGGAAGCTGTGCCCCCCCCGGCCCATGCTCACACACAACATAAATCAGCGCATTTCAAACTGCACATAACAATGTCACCCACTTGTTAGAAATGAAAGCATGAATCAAAGGTTGTGAGGGGCCCGGTTGATGTGTACAGCGTCTGGAGATGATTTACTGTCAGGCTCAACCCAATCTACTAACAGGCCACCCACGTGCATTTCCATCTCCTACCACGGGCACAGAGATGCCATTAGAACCAGTGGGAATGACTCCCATGTGCTCATTTTGTCTCTTCCATTGTGCAACAACAACATGGCTAGAATCATGTTGTTGAGTGTTGGGGAGGAGGTGGAAAGTGTCGAATCAGCACCACGGACAGCTCTCTTACATTCATAAACAGGCTGAGGTTAAAGCGTGTGATTATGGGAGCAGAAATAAATAAATAGATAGAGCTAAATAAATTCTTTTGTTGGATCATCTATCTTTGTATCTGTAACCTCTCTGCCTAACGCGACGGGAAATCAGAGAGTGAAGATGGCAGGCTTGCAGGGGGCTCGTCCCACGCTCAGCCCTCGCACTCAGAGCAATCAACGGTGGGGAGGCGCTAGCGGGAGGCGCCGTTCGATGGCCCGCCGCTCTTTTCTGTTCTACAGATCGCACGTTCCTGAACATGGATGGAAGCTCCCACCTCAGCGCGTAGAGGACGGTCCCGTTGGGGAAGATGCGTATCAGCCTGTTCTCCACGGTGATGTCGGGAGGAAGGCTTCTTGGAGTCGACGATGAAGTGTCGGGGACCCAGAGCGGCTCCACAGCGCCCGTCCAGGCTCAGGTCTTGTTGCCCTCGAAACCAAGCGCTCGTCGTCCAGCGTGGTGGAGGAATATGGGGCGGTGTAGTCCTGCGGGATAGAGGTCACACACAGCTTATGGACTGCTTGACAGGGGGTGAAGTAGGTGAAAAAAAGCATGTTTCTTTGGCCAAAAAAAGATCTCTTTGCTGTGAACACACATTTTATTGAGTCAGCTTTTCTTTTCTTCTTGCATTGTTGGGTTTTAACGGCTTCAGGTCCCTAAGCTCCCTCTGTGGCTGGAGCAACAGTAATCCTTCAGAAAATCTGTTATGGTTTTGAGGACTATGAACATATTGTGTTCCGATTGAGGAGAACGGGTTCTCTGCAAACACGTCGAAAGCAAAATGACAAACATGCTTTATTCTAATACAACGTGAGGTTTAACTATGGCGATGAAAGCAATACAGGATATGCAAAGAGGTTAATAGTTCATTATAAAAGTGTGTTGTAAAATATTGAAAAATGACAGATTTGAGCTCTTTGCAGCTTGAAACAAAAGCCCAAAATAAGATCTTACCATGTTGATCTCTGAGATGGTGTCAATACTGGCAATGTCCAGGCTCATGCCCACCGTGACGGGTCCATCTACAAAGAACAAACCGATAAGAAACTGCTGCTCGTGTCATTTATTCTCTTCTTCTTTTTTATCTAAAAATAATATCAAAAAATTAACATGAAAATATTTTACAATTTCTGATGACATAAAATGATCTGCTGAAAATATGAAGCCTTGGTTGGCTTCCACTTACGATAATTAAGCTTAGCAAATAGTCTGAGAGTGGTAGAAAACAGCTCGCCGTGTCCCGTCCAAAGGCAGAAAATCCAATTTCCTGCACCTTGTTTTATCGAATGTGTACAAACGATTTTGAAAGAATCAATCAAATCAATCAAACACCTCAGTTTGGCTTGAGTCCCCTTTGGACAGAGCCATGGTGAGAGTGGGAACTAGTCAAGTAAAGACTGTATATAAGAAGTGGACGTAGTCTCGGTGAAGTCACCCATTGGATTGTGTGCTGCTCTTTTGAAGCTTCGGGTTTAGCACGTGGTCGTCGCCATTTTGTTTTTTTGCAACCAGAATTAACCAAAGAGGGTGGATTACAACCAAATACTGAATAAGACATTTTAAGGGACCACAAAGGGGACAGCTAGCAGTCATGCAGTGAAGACACCCTGTGAAAGTGTTAAAGTTGCAAAACAAAAACACAGACAATGTAAATACCTGTCAATCACAAGGTAGCCCCGCCCTAAATTGTAGTCAGCTTTATTTAACCCTACAATGGACCATCACTTTTGTTTTGACTTGAACCTACAAACTGAGACCATGAACTCATCTGTGTGATGTTCAGTGAGGTAATAAAACCAGTGAGAAGTCTTCTCGTAGACTTTTATACAATCAGACTTCCTTTTGGGCCTTTTTGGTCTCTCTAATGGTCAGTAGAGAGAATACAAGCTTCAGGCACTTCCACATTGGCTTTACTTTTCAGAATGACAATGCCAAAAATGTTATTCTAGGACTATTTTTTGAGGAACTAAAGCATTGCACTTCATCCCACTGTTGACTGCGTTTTATTAACCAGTCCGTGAAGGGTTCTTTCAGCATGAGAAATAATGATTCAGTTTTGAGTAGGGGGGCGGACCTTTCTGCACTGAGCAGACCGGCTGGCTGCGCCGGAGGCTGTCTGGCCAGAGGATGACAGTGATGAGCAGTGAAACCTGCCCCGGGTACCAAAATGTTGAAAATACTCGGCCTCGCACTGTGTGTGTGGCTCAAAATGCCGCGAAAACACAAAGCGCAGGAGACAGGCGAGTGACGACCGCGTTACAGCTGTCCCACATCTACTGGAGCATTTATTTTCTCTCTCAAGGGAACGAATACAATCAGAACAGAAGTTCTCATAGTACAATGCAAGTGTGTGCCCAGTTCATGTTCCAAGGAAAGGGGACGGTAGGTTATGCTGAAAGGCGTTCGCTTTGGTAAAGTCTGAGGTGTTATTAAAGATGAAAACGCGAGTAAACAAATCATAATCGCATTGTGGAGGTCTCCGCGGAGCCCGGAACAATAACGCGGCGAGGGATTTTACGATGAACTGACATCGTTCCTCTGGGAGCACTGCGGTGTACTCTGCTTCTCTATCGGAAGCATTTTCTCATTTATATACATAATAGTATATGAAGTATATGAGGCACTCACTAACCGTGTTGTACCAGAGTTTGCTTGTTTTCCTCTGCATGTATTTCCTCATTACCATTTCATCGAGGAATTATGGGACAATATCATAGATAAACTTTGTTCCCTGCCAAACAAACTTTGTGTGACTTGAGTGCTGTGTTGTTTCTGTGGCTGCGTGTGTGTGCAGATTCCTTACTGTCGAAGAAAGGCCTGAGGTACTTGTTGTATCCTTTCATCAGCTTATGAATGGTGGGAGGCAGAATATCTCCCTCCTTCACTTCGGCGTTGAGCATCGAATTTTCTAACAACCTGAGATCAAAGACAAACGGAGAGAGACAGAGAGGAGGTGAAGGAAAAAACAAAAGGACAAAAATGATGTTTCATTCCTCATCCCCTCGTGCATTTACGAGGCGGACAGCTCTTCACGAACAAAAGCACTTCTCTCCGTCCATATTTGTAATTCACTTACGCCTTAAAAATGATTCGCTTTCACAAGATATTTCTTTTCTCGCTTGTCCCTCAATGCTATCCTTAAAAAGCACATTGCAACGTGGGAAGATGATTACATTGCTGGCAATTGCAGCGGGGAAAGGAACAATCGCTGCACTTCCCCAGTGCTGTATGTGTGTGTGCGTGTGTGTGTGTTTGTTTGTGTGTAAATTGGGCTCTAAACACGGAAATGCCTGCTCTGTGGAGAAAGCCCCCGGGCACGTCACATGATGTAAGAAGGAGCAGAGGCAAGACGGATTGGGCCATGTGCAGAGGCAGAAAACATTCATCCCCGATGGCTGGCAGCAGTTCCGGGGTCCCCCAAAGCCCCCCAACCCCCACCACCACTTTGCCACTGGTAGCGCTGTCTTAGTCAAATGAGTGGCTCCTTCCACTACGACAGGAGTGCAGGGATACAGAGTGGTGATGCTTTTCATTTGACTCATCGAATGCCAAAAGTCAGTCATTGCACTGAAGGTGGAGACAATATAGGTTTCGAATCACCAGGGGCCTCGTGGAAATTTGTTTTGGCACTTTAATTGTCGTGAAAGAGTTAATGGATTTCAGTCAAGACCATTAGTAGTTTCGATCTCGTGCCAGTTATGCAGACCCTGTTGCTTCTTGTCAAACGTGGTCCTCCTTCTGATTTGTGTTATGGAGCGAGCTCCTTTTGCAACCCAGCAGTTTAACTGCTATTTGAACTGTGGCATGCCGTTGCCTCATGGTGATGTTGACCCTGTTTGTACATGTTAATTATTAAAACGTCTCAGGATGAACGCAATGATTTATTCATGATAGGATTGCTGCATGTTTTATGCAGGCTATACAGACATAAACCGAGGCGCAGCAGTGCATTGAGATCAATGCTAATGGAGGGAGGGCACACAGGTTAGTGTGTTACCTTTTTTTACAATGGACCAGAAACATCAACCTGCTACTGGAGTAACGCTCGACCAAACATTTGGTTGGAACTCATTAGTTTTCATCTTCTGGTTACTTTAGTAATTTGTAGTATTTGTCGATGCAACGACTCCTTTGAGTTACGAGATACTTTTCCTCCCTTCAATACCGCCCATGACATTTTTTTCAAATATGGGAGCAAAATGCCAGTGCAGGCTGCCTGAGCAGCAGAATGTGAGGAGCAGGCAAGATATCACAATGGTTGGTGGGGTCTCCAAAGTCAATAGCATTATTCTGTTTGGGATTATGAATGTACCAAACTTCATTTAACTCCATCCGACACAGAATATGTGGAGTTATTTCAGTCTGGACCAAACTAACTTTCCCTTACCTACAGCCTTATGGCAAAAAATACATCTAACATAGATAAGAAGTAAATCATGGCCCCATGATTTATTGTTCTGATTTATGGCAACTTATAATACGGGTAGATGAAATCCAGCGTTCTGATTGGTTCCGCTGCGCGTCGGGCCTAACAACCCCAAACTGTTACATTATTGAATGGTACAGCGTCTCGTACCTTATTGCTTAATTAAAGAATACATTGGAAACTCCTCACAGCAAGAGCCTGGTAAATGAATGTCCTTCTCATGTCTTCGACAAGAGAGGTCGGACCGTTAATCTGCCAAACGGCATCGGTGCCGGACCTCTAGACTGCACAGGCTTTTTACAAAATGAGTGAAAAATAAAATAAGGCAAAGAAAAAGTTCCCTCTGCCCAACTCGGGACTTATTTCACCTGCCTTTGTCAAATCAGGTTACACTGTTGAGTGACCTGCTCTCGGCGCACCGCTGCTATGCCACATGCAGTCTCACTCACACGGCTCCAGCCTGTTGTTTCAGCGGGCAACACAATCGGAGAGCCGTGTGATTGGCGGAGGAGGCCGCGCGCCGCCTCCGGCATGCTGCATTATCAATCTAGGTCGTCCTGTGTGACCCTCATTACATTCATATAGTGATTCACATAGGATATTTTACATGTTTGATGTTTTATGTAAGGTGACTTTAATATAAATTAAATGTATTTTTATTATATGTGTACACATTTTGTTTTAAATAAAACATGATGTAGCGTGGATTCTAATAGCATATAAAGCAACTACAATTGATACAGCACGTACTGTTAGCCACAATCTGGTTGTCAGGGTTTTACGCTCTGACAATGAAAGGCAGCGTCTCCCACCAGAATGTGGGCTCAAACCTTGCGCCTCTTCTCACGCTTTCCGTCTCTGCAAATCCCCAGGCTCTCCAACCTTTGGCTGTCTAAACCTTCACCTGGAGACGGGGGATGAGACCTCGGCTCTCCAACCTGCCAAAACACTCGCTATCCACCGAGCCTTCACATTGGGAAAGAAATAGGGAAAAAAATATTGAATCCTCCCAGAATCCCACTGATATGATCAACATCTCCTTGCTGTGTTTGTGCGAGTCGGCATGATTGTGAACACAAGAGGACATCCAGGCTGTAAGGCGGAGTGGGAAACATGCGGGCGCAAACAAGCAACTCTCATATTTAGGTAGTGTAGGTTCGCTCTCCGGACTCAGATGAAACTGCAGCCGGCGGAGTGCAGTTTCCCAAGATGCACGTTGACAGCAACAGACACACCGGCCCAGCAGGCTGCCTATGGAGAATAACAAGACGACACGTCGAATCCCCTGAAGTGAGCAGAGGACGGCACAAGATAGCGCTTGGCCACAACACAATCGCAAAAACTCTATTTCAACCCCAGCAGGAGCTCAAAGCTCGATGCCATTTATTTATTTTACAGGTTATTGCGCAAATTTGAATTTACACTTAACAGCAGGGTAAGCCGAGATTATGCAACCATGTGGCGGCATCAGCTGGTTTTTGACCCACAAAATAAACACATGCAGGTGACACTTCAGAGTGGGACAGCGTGTCCAGGCAGCATCTGACCCATCACATGCTGAGGCGGGCTCCAGCCAGCGCTCCACCTCTGAAATGAGCAGCCGTCTAATGGATGGACGTTGGCTTCAGTCTTTCACATTACTCGTTGGTCGACGAGGACGAGCTCGTCCACAGCAGGGATTGAACAGCAGGGAAACCCAGTAGGTATCAAGTGATCTCCGGTGAGGAGATCAGTGATAAAAACACAAGAGCCACCAACGTTGGACAGCGAGACTGTAGATGATGAAATGCACGTGGGCGGTTCAGCACCGCGGCGCCCGGCTCAAACGGGGACAACGCGGCGTTCAGAAGAACCGCTTAAGCCATACGGACGCCCATGTAAACGGCATCTTCTGACGCGCTAATTGGCCAGTCCACGCTGATGGCCGATTGGCTCACTGAACTCAGTGGGAAGGAGGTCTCATAATTACTCGGTAGTCACCATTGAATGGAAGAAACCAGTAACTAACCGCCATTAAAACAGGACAGCTTATCCGCCTCATGACGAGATGGATTTTGGTCATCTCATTTCAGTTTTGTTAAAAAAATAATCACTTTTATCCAGATGAGACGAGGTGAGATAGTGGGCAAGGTCTTCGGTCAATCGGTAGAGGCAAACGAATCGGACAGGCAACAGGCAGAAGACAAGAACGAGGTGGAGTCATGAACCAAAGGATCTATCACGAGAATAGAACACACGGAATAGAACAAAGACAATCTGGCACCGGAGCCGGGTTCAGATGTAATGAACTAGAAATCAGGAGGAAAACGAGGAAAGTGAAACTGAAACGACAAGAGAGGTTAGTGATAAAAACTAGTGAGGGGTGGATCCACCAAACAATGCACAGTCTTTAACAACGTTGTTAAAGTTACTACAAGCATCAGTATCTCCAAGCACCAGAGTGCCAATAGAAAGAACTCTGCACGAAGCGAAGGGTCTACATCCCCTTCTGCCGGTTGCTCTTGTTTATTCATGTCATATAGAACCTCTGCATTACACCGAGACGCTTTCAGTCAATAAGCGGTGGATGGCTAGTTTGCTCATATCCAGTTTTTACATCAGGATCTACAACCAGCTGATGCTGGTTGTAGATCCTGATGTAAAAAATGAATCACTCCGGACTATAAAACATCTGGGCAGCAGTAAGCGACCTCCTCCACCACCACAGGAAGGCTTCTGTGCTCCACGTGCCGTGTGCCTGTATTCTTGCCTGATGCTCCTTGTGGTTCAGATGCGCGGGTGGAAGAATATCTTTAGACGGAGCAGCGACGACAGAGCGGCTTGGAATGAAGGAATCAAACCCCCGTGGGTGGAATTACCTTTTCATGACATAACCTCCCTAGATTTCCCCCCCGCGCTTACTCCTTTTCCCTAATCTCTCAAGGCGTCAGCGCTTGCATATTTCACAAGAGATTAATTCAACTGTGCACCCTCCCTGCAGAGGGCCGGGTAACGCTCTCTCTGTGGAGCCCTTTCTCCCGGAACTGTTCGCACCGACCCGCTCCTCGCTGTCCCCACACTCACTCACTCATTCATTCATGTTGTTTCCTGTTCCCCAAACTCCCTCAAATGAACTCCCCTCCGCTCGACCCCGCAGTCATTCGCATGCCGCAAAAGTAGCACAATGTGTGTGTTCTGTATGCACATAGTGAGCAATTTGATTGAATATTCCCCCATTAAAGAGCATTGTGCAAATAAGCTGAGCATGGCAGGATTTGATAAGGCGCCGCTTGTTTGTTTTTTTGTGGTGCCCCCAGAGGTTTGCATGTACTGGTTCTCCAATGCATTTTTAGTTTGATTTGTTTTACTGGTCATATTAGTTTTGTTTGTTTCCTTATATCAGTAAATGGTAAAGTTGGGTTGGTATTCATGTGAGTTGTATCATTAGGTTTTAAAGGTTAAAGGTCATGTCTGGAATAAGGCACAACCTTAGTTGACCTCTAAGGGCACA